AGGCATTCCTTAATTATAAGTCACTTCGGATAAAAGTATTTGCTAAATGAATAAATCACTATCAGTTTAATTACACGTTAACAAACACTACATCTGTAGTTCAAAGCAAACATTCTGCGGTCATGTAACCAAAAACAAAATGTGCCAAACCTTATATCTGCACTGTACTGTATATCATTTCACTTTGTTATTGAAACAATCTGGCACCCTATGCATTATATATAAGGTTTGGAGTACTAACATGCAATCAATAATCAATCCTTTCTCCTTCAGTATATCTATTCCTTCAGTGTCACACAAGCTTGAAATGATTTACTGAATAAGACTGGGAGCAGGAGGGAGATCATAAATACTCTCAGAACCATGATGAGAAAAAGCTCAGTGATAAAAGATCGTATCTAGGTTACGTATGTAACCATGGTTCCCCGAGGGAACGAGACGCTGCGCTTCGCTTTGGGAACGCCCTTCCGTGAACGCGTTCTGAAGCACGTGTCAAATCAGTCCAATGGAGCAGCGAGACGTCACGAGCAGGGTGACGTAAGCACCAGAAAGCATAAAAGCGCATCCGGCAGGGCGCAAACCAGCTTCGATGAAGTAGCGCCTGCAGTGATGCAGGGAGTATGGCAAAGAGACGCAGCATTTCGTTCCCTCGGGGAACCATGGTTACATACGTAACCTAGAGACGTTCCCCTTCAGGAACTCGAGCTGCGTCGAGTCGCTTTGGGAACGAGAATACCCACTGCGCCATACTACCAAGTCCCTGCCTGTGTGTGTGTCCTATGAGCACATCACGAAGAGAGAACTTGGGAACCTGGGGTAGAAGCCAGGTCTAGGTTGTAAAAGCGGACAAAAGTGTGTGGAGAGGACCAGCCCGCCGCAGCACAAATGTCCTGCAAGGCCACACCCAAGCTGAAAGCCTTGGGGGCCGCCATACTCCTGGTCGAGTGCGCTCTGACCCCCATAGGTGACGGGAGGCCAGAGGACTCGTAAGCTAGTGAGATGGCCTCGACCACCCACCTACCCGTAGTCTGCTTGGTCGCCGGAGATCCTTTCTTTGGCAAACCAAAACAAACAAAAAGCTGATCTGCCTTACGCCACGGGGCAGCTCTGTGTGCGAAAACGTCCAGTGCTCAACTGGACAGAGCAGATTAAGCCTTGGCCTACTTCCTGGAATGGAGAAGGACAGAATGCCTGAAGTACTATGCGCCCTGGTGAAGAAGTGGGCACCTTAGGGACATACTGGCCCTTGGGTAAAGGAATGCCCTAACCATGCCTGGAGCAAACTCCAGGCACGAAACAGAGAGGAAGATAGATGAAGTGCCTGGCTCTCTCTCCGGGGGGAAGAAACCGCAGCGCGGGCTTCCGAACTCTGAGAGAGAGCCGTGGATCTAGCGGGTGAGGACCGAGAAAAGGACGAGCCCGTCACGGATCCCTCCGCTAAATCCACTTGCAATCCCCTCGACAACAGTCTGCGCTGTGCCTCTGCAATAGCGGGACCGCTGCCAGCGGGATTGCGAGCCTGGCCGCTCTCATCAAACACGGCCAGGCGAGAGCGGAGCGTGTGCAGCGAGAGCAACTCGCAGCCATGACGATTAGCCCCCTCGAGAGCTGACCGTGCATGCTCCGCTTCCAAACAAAGGACACACAAATCGTGTGTATCCCCTGCCGTCAGATATCGTGGGCAGGGAGGAACACAGCGTTTGTACTGCCATTCGCTCGCCATAGATTTTCTCATAGTTTTAAATGTATGAGTGCTTGTGCAGAGAGACAACAGTAAATAGACAGACACATACACAGAGCGCTACTGAAGAGCAGAAGCTGGGTGGCGCCCGGCCGGATGCGCTTTTATGCTTTCTGGTCTCGCTGCTCCATTGGACTGATTTGACACGTGCTTCAGAACGCGGTCACGCAAGGGCGTTCCCAAAGCGAATCTCGACGCAGCTCGAGTTCCTGAAGGGGAACCACTTCTATAGGCACATACAACACGTCAGCTACAACAACTCATTAGCAGCAATTCATCAGCAAATAACTGGATTCAGTGATCTAAACCCAAGATTGAGGGTCCTTAACTAAACTAAACTAAACTTTAAAACCTTGAACCTTATGATTAAAAGTTCTACACTCAAAAATCAAGATTCTAAACTCAAGATTCAAGACTGTAAATTCAAGATTCAAGTGTCTAATCTAATCTCAAGAATCAAGATTCTAAATTGAAGAGTCATGATTCTACACTCAGTATTTAAAATTCTAGACTCAGGATTTTAAACTCAAGATTCAAGCGTCTAAACGGTATTGATTATTCTAAATCCAAAATCAGGATTCTAAACTCAAGATAACAGGTTTTAAACTCAAGTTTGTAAATTTAAGATTCAAGCGTCTATTCACAATTCCAAATTCAAGGTTCTATAAAGATCTAAAGAATCTAAAGATTCTACATTCAGTATTTAAAATCGAAGATTCTAAACTCAAGATTCATGTTTTAAACTTAGGATTGTAAATTCAAGATTCAAGTGTCTAAACTCAGTATTGGTTATTCTAAACCCAAAATCAAGATTACTAAATCTAAATCTAAACTCAAGATTACAGGTTTTGAACTCAAGTTTGTAAATTCAAGTTTCAAGTGTCTAAACACTGTATTCACAATTCCAAATTCAAGGTTCTGTACTCAAGATTCTAAACTGAAGAGTAAAGATTCTACACAGTACTTAAAATCGAAGATTCTAAACTCAAGATTAATATTTTAAACTCAGGATTGTAAATTCAATATCCAAGTGTCTAAACCCGGTATTCATTCAGCGTTCTAAATTCTAAATTATGGTTCACACTCAAGATTTAAGATTCTAAACTCAAGATTCAAGGTTTAAATCTCAAGATTGCAAATTCAAGATTCAAGTCTCTAAGCTCAGCATTCCAAATTGAAGGTTCTATACTCAAGATTTGAGGTTTTAAACTGAAGAATCAAGATTTTAAACTCAAGATGAGGGTTATAAGTTCAACCCTGTAAAAGATTGTAAGTTCAAGATTCAAGTGTCTAAACTCAGTATTTACAATTCAAGGTTCTAAATTCTAAATGGCAGGTTCTACACTCAAGATTCAAGATTCTATACTCATGATTCTACTGTAGATTTCCTGCTCAGTAATTAAGATTGTAAATTCAAGGTTCGAAACTCAAGAATTGAGATTCTGTACTCAGTATTTAAGATGTCAAGGATCTAAAGTGAAGATTTAAGGTCCTGTCCTAATGATTTGTGGTCGTCTCTATGGCCATCTGTCAGAGAGGGGTTCCCGCACACTCGAGTCTCTCTGTTGTGGCCCAGACGGCTTCCTCTCCTCAACAGTAGATTGAGTGTCACTTCAGTTACGTCTGTCCTCACTTCCCCCTTTTTCAAGCCTCTCACTTACTATTCAGGTCTTTCTCCTCTCATTCACAGACCCTTTCATCCCATCCATCCATCCATCCATCCTGAACAGCAGCCTTTTTTCATTCGTTGCTATGACTCCCTAACCTCTGTCCTCTCTGACTCCGCCCCCCTCATCCGATTTCCCCACTATAAGTCCCTCTTTTTCTTTCTCTCGTCTCTCTGTATTGTTGTTACGTACGTACGTGTGTTTGGTCTCGGTGACTTTTATAACGGCCTGTCACACATTCCTGTTTTTTAACTCTGTGTTTCTCTTTAACTTATCTTCTCTATCCTCACAAAGAGTCTTTGCTTGTACAGTAATGCCCATGACCCCTGCGGTCTCCCTCCTCCTCTCTTCATTCATTCTGCATCTACTTTGTCTTCTTATGGCTCAGGTCATTTACAGCCTCTCAAAAACGCCTTTATTCTTGCTTATCTGCAGTTCTGAGCTTTCTTAGAATCACTAACCATTCAAGGCTGTGCCAGTCTAAAAGGAATCCGTGCACATCTTTCACATTTTCTACGCTGATTGTGAAGGAAAATCTGCAGAATTAATAAAAAAATGGCATAACTTGTTGAGCAGAGCTGAAAATACTCATCAAACATATTTAAAATGATTTATTTTTTTTGTAATATGGAATAAAAATGTAAATAGTTCATATTTATAAACAACATTTTTCTCAACTTCCAAGCCATCTTGGATCCTTGTTTTTTTCTTTGTATGCAAACCACAAGACTGCTTTTGTAACAAAAAAAGAAGAAAAGAAAAAAAGAAGGTATTATTGGGACAGACTTTGTGTCTGAAGCACAGCTACACTACCTTTTAAATGTTTGGGAAGAAATTAATACTTTTATTCAGAAAGGATGCATTAAATTGATCAAAAGTGACAGTAAATACATTTTTAATGATACAAAATATTTATATTTAAAATAAATTATATTCAAAGAATCCAAAAAAAAAAGTAAAATCCTGGTTTCCACACAAATATTGTGCAGAATTCAACATTGATAATAATCAGAAATGTTTCTCGAGCAGCAGATCAGCATATTATACTGATTTCTGAAGATCATGTGACACTGAAGACTGGAGGAATGATGCTGAAAATACAGCTGCGCATCACAGAAATACATTACAGTTTAACAGAGATTCACATAGAAAACAGCTATTTTAACTTGTAAAAATATTTCACGATATTTACTGTATTTTTGATTAAACCGCATCGGTGAGCAGAAGAGACTTCTTTCAAACACATTAAAAAATCTTACCAACCCCAAACTTTTCAACTGTATACAGTACGATGCCTTAAAAGGTTTTCTAAATACGCAGCACGCTATCTTTTGGAACAGGCTCATATGTTTAATAAACAGATAAAAACCAAACTGCAAACTAACGCATGCAGTCTGATCATCAAAAACTAAGTGAAAAGAGGTCAATGGAAAATATCGTGTAAGCAGATGTCCAGTACACTCGGTTATTAGACAATAAACTCCAAATGCTGCTCCACAATGGCAGAGAGGTAAGTAACAGGGTAATATTCCATCACACCTCTGTTATTGCTTCTTTTTTCCCTTCACACCCCTTCAATTTCCGTTTCTAACCTTCTGTGAAAGGCTCCCAGTCATACACGCGTCCCATAAACTCTTGATTGTTGAACGCTGCACACTGTTCAGCCCTGGAGCTTACTGGAGCACCTGGACATGCCTACAGGGAGAGAGAGAGAGAGAGAGACTTAAGGTATGGCATCTCACTTTGAGAAGCATGGCAATGTGTGTGTGTGTGTGTGTGTGTGTGTGTGTGTCTGTGTGTCTGTGTCTGTGTGTGTGTCTGTGTGTGTGTGCGTGTGTGTGTGTGTGTGCGTGGAAATAATGGTGAACCTGGAGACACTCAGATAAATCTCCAGAGGGAGAGACAGACGGAGGCCAATGTTTACAGAGTCAGAGCAAGACAAGAGCCCTGAAGAAGATGACTCAAAGTGACACACATTTTAAGGAATGAAAAACTGACAAACCACTAGTTGGGAATAAAAAAACAACAACAACAACAACAAAAACTTTGTTATTTAGAACCAGTTCCATTTTTTAAATAAAAAAGGAAAGTTTGTCAGGACAAAAATGACAAACTTGAAAGAATTAATACTGTAGATTTCCATTCTTTCTTCTAAATTATTTCCAGAACCTTTAACTCTATAAAGCTACTGTACCATTTGATATACACATTTCTAAGGCCTCTAAATGAACAAAAATTTGCTGTTAAACCTGTTTCACACACAATCTACTCCACACCTTCTGTCGTCTGATTGATGACTTTTTTTTAATAAGTAAAATATCTTTTAGTCTAACTGTACAAACGTCCACCTTTACTGACTTTCATAAAGTAAGCATCAGAATAACGTCAGTAATATCTCCAGATGAACACTTGCTGGACTGAAGCAGCTCAGCTTTACTTGATTCTCCATCAATCATGTTTTAGAGTCTCAAATCTGATCCTCAGGATCTTTTGAGGAGCGTTTGTTTCCAGCAGCTTTACTTTCACTGTTCCTCAGCGGAGGAATGATCTTCACAAGCCTCCAGAACATCTCACATCTTCTGAGGAGCCTTTATTTCTTCAGCTCTCAATCAGCACTGCATTGCATTGCATTACATGGATCATTTCAATCTCATCTTACTAAGACATATTAATGGAGATATAAAGCGACAACTGATATTTATATCATTTTTAAATGTAAGTATCTGCTTTACTGTTAAAAAGATTGCATTGATTTACATTACAAGCATCAGAAATTCATCTTACTTCTTGGTCACATAAATATCAGCATCTGCAGCAAATTGCATATTGTTTTGGGCCTCTGAATACAATTGTGCTGTTTCTTTCCTCCACATTCTCACTGTATCAGACTATACGAGCCATAAAAGCTTGATGCATCAAATATAATACAAAACAAAATCACATGCATTTTTTTCTCTCTCTACAGGTTCAATAAACTGTTTTTGAAATTTCAATTTCAGACTATTATTTAACATGACAGGCTTTAAGCGGTTAATAAACCAGAATTGTTAAGTGGAAATGTTACCAGAATCGATAAATTCCTTGCAATTCCCAAACCACAGACAGAACGGGACATCAGCATAGAAACATATGGCATCATAAATGAGACCTATATCAGCTTCTATAGAGCGCTTGAGCACAGATGCTCGTCTCAAGATCTTCCACGTGTTCGTTCTCGATGCCAACGACATCAGGAAACACTGCTCATTTTCTCTGGCTTTTTTCCTCTTCCTGTCTTGAGCACGATAGGAAGCACCCACAGAGGGAGAGATGTTACAGGACACTAAAGACAGGCAGAGACAGCTGCAGACAGTAATGGGGTGAAATTAAAGAGGCACAGGGTCATCGAGGTGTCATTTCACCTCACAGACCACCGCACACACCGCCATTAGTGACTAAACACTGTCCCATTAATGCACAGCAAACACTGCGGCTCTCCACAAACCAGCCCTAAATATTTACAGCACGTCTGAGTGTGTTTGCTCAGGAAAACTTCTGCTCTGATTATTCTAGAGGTTTAGTGCTCATACTCATGTTCGCTGATTTACTTGAATTAATTCGTGGTTTGGATGTTTACGGCAAAAGTTACGATGTTAAGATACTTACATACGTTTAATTAGGCTACATCAATGCTGACGAATATCTATAAGCAAGCTGAGTTTGGAAGTGTATGAAATCTCCTGAATGGTTTAAAAACAACTGAATTTATGATTGAACAAAGATATAAAGAGTAGAATAGAGTAAAATAATTAAAACTAAAACCATAAAAAAGCATCTGTGTTACTTCAAACTAAATAAATGTTATCTAAAATAATATAAAATATTTTTAAAAAATTTGTTTCCTTTTTTAACATTCATTATTTTTATTTTGGTTTAACTTGATGTACTACCTGAACTAAAACTAAAACTGAAATAAAAATAATAAAAACTACTAACAAAAAAGAACTAATAAAAATGACAAAAACACACAAAACTAAAATGAACTAAAACCAAAATTTAAGTAAAATTAAAATAAATTAAAAAATTCTAAATCGTAAATTAACAGTGAAGATATTTAGCAAAATGTTCACGCTGTTCAAGAAAGCCTACAAAAAAGTTCACTTAATTAAGTGAAGTTAAGTAAAGTTCAAGTATGTGTAGTATACTAATATCAATGTAGAGTATACTGTACTTGTACTGTAAGTGTACTACTATTTCAGTACTTGGGACTAAATCAACTTTTTAATTAATAAAAGTATACTTTTAAGTGCATTTAAATGTAACAGCAGTAAACTTTAAGTACACAGCTTGTTTTTCTTTAGCAATTATCCTACAAGTGAATTTAACCGTTGCTTCCGGCTAATCCATAATCTATAATAACGCTTCCTCCAGTGAAAAAGTCCATCTCCTGTTGTCTCTCACAGTAAAATACACCAAAAATCCACATATTTGTTTAGAGCTGCTTTGGACTGTGCAGATTTCTCTCCTGATTCCGACCAGACCACACCACTTTTTTTTCCGCTGGAGGAAGCGTTATTATGGACCAGAAGCAACGGTTTGAAGTTAAAATTTTAGTGAACTATTCCTTTAAAGAATTATACATAAAAAATCTAAGCAGACAAAAACGAAAACAGTCAAAAGGATTTGTGAGATCAACCCAAAGGAGGATTTTACTAGCTAGGAGAGCAGAAGGACGACACAGAGCTGATATATAGTTGAAATGTACCAGTCAAAGAGTTCAGAAGAGCTCCTGTAATGAAGCAGAGCATCTACTAGAGCTCAAGCTGAGAGACAGAGAGCTAGTGCTTTACTGCCTTTCCTTAGGCCACATTCACTTCCTCGTTAATAGGGCCACTGTCACATGATGAAGAGGGGCACACACGGGTCAGACCGCACACACACACACACACACACACGCGCACACACACTCACACGCACACACACACACACTCACTTACACGCACACACACACACACACACACACACACTCACTCACACGCACACACAGACACACACACACACACGAACAGCTCCATCGGATCTTATTTCCAGGAGAAGCTGAGTGCTTACAAGCTCAGTGGGAAATCAGGGGGTAGCGCTCTCACACACACACACACACACACACACACACACACACGTTTGTTTTGCTATCTCAGTGAGGACATTGCATAGACTTCCATTGATTTTCAGGTTAATGATATTTTCTATCAGCTAACCCAAACCCTACCCCTAAACTTACCCATCACAGAAACATCTGCAGAACACTAGATTTACATCAAAAACATTTTCTGGCTGATTTATAAGCCTTTTTAACTAGTGAGGACCAGTCAAATGTCCTCACTACTGGGTTGTCAAGATCTTTTTACTATATAAGTGAGGACATTAAACCAGTACACACACACACACACACACACACACACACGAATGAATGTATGGCTGGCACAGATGCATCCATGGCGGATGAATATGGCGAGAACACAAGATTTTCTCACACAAGTTGTGAACAGTAACAACCCAACAGCTGCCACACACACACACTTTCTCCACATACATCTTTTCTCTTTCTCTCTGAATACCTCATTCTTTTGTATTACTCTGTGTCCAGCTGACAAAAGCAGTTGGTCAGTGTAAACACACTTAATAAAGCAGCATGCTGAAACACGCACACACACTTGTTGAGAAAACAAGAACCTAAAAAGACCTGAATAGACACCGATGAAATGTGCTCACAAAGACGTTCCTGTGTGCTGCTCCATGTGCGTCTGCAAAACGAAAGTTGATGCATAACAGATCCAGGAGCTTTTTCAATCAACTTCAAGATTTTAGGTAAACATTTATATAAGCATATAGGTTCATGTGAATATCTTGGGTCATGTACTGGTCACTGTTTCTTTAAAGTTTTATTCACATTTTTCACTTTTAAATAGTTAATTTAAATGGTCCTGCAGTGTGATTTTAACCCTTTAAAGACTGACACTTTAAATAGTAACACTTTAATAAACACTTTAAGTTTGCATATGTGTTTTTTTAGTATCATATTTGATCCACCAGGCTTGTATGGCTCACAGTCTATTGAGAATATGGAGAAAAACAGTTCAAACTGAGCAAAAATATGCAATTTGGTGCAGATGCTGATGTTTATATGATGATCCTTACATAAAATTATATAAATATCAGTCGTCGCTCTATAGCTCCAATAATGTGTCTTGGTAAGATTGAAATGATCCAAACATATAATGCAGTGCAATCCAGTGATGATTGAGAGATGAAGAAATAAACGCTCCTCAAAAGATCCTGAGGATCAGATTTGAGACTCTAAAACATGATTGATGGAGAATCAAGTAAAGCTGAGCTGCTTCAGTCCAGCAAGTGTTCATCTGGAGATATCACTAACAATATCACAGTTATTCTTACATTTACTTTATAAAAATCAGAAATGTGCATGTACAGTAGGCTTTATAGGGTTAAAACGCTGTTTAAAACAGCTTAAGATGTATAGCATGTCACACTGCAGGATATGCACAAAACTCACAGCTAATGTTCAGGTGTTGTGGTCGCCAGGTCATTGTGATGATTGCTCAGAGGTTACTTACTGGCTTACGTCAAAAGAGCCCCAACATCTGACGTACAATCAGATGTACAAATAGTGCAGGACGAGTTACACAACAAAGCTGAAT